GGGTACGAAAAGAATGTTAGAGGACTTAAAGTTAATACCGTCTGATCATACGTAAATAACCTTTCTGATTTCTGAAATTTGAATTTTAAATACAAGACGCATTTCTTGAGCTCCTGCAGTTTTCAGTTGAAAGTTAATTCTATTAAAAAAGCTCTAGGTGATTAAAATCATAATTTATAGTTATTCCACATAAAGTGTGGAAGAAAAGCGATGTAGTAGAAAGAAGGTTTACTGTTGGAAAATAAACAACGGGCTCAAGTTTCCTTCGATGGCTTTGTTGCGATACAAAACACATACCTACCTATCAGTGCTATATCTCTTGTAAGAGTTGTGGCTTACGCTGAGCACGCGACTTTTCTGCGGGAGATTGTAATGTTCTACTTCTTTGTTGACAGCTTTCTCTGAAAAAGTTTGACCCCCCTCATTCTAAACAAACGGAGACTGCTTCTTCCCAGGAGTCCCAGAGGGAAAGTGAATGAAATTTGGTTAGTCACCATTAACGTCAAAGCTGTGACTGATCACTATTGAAGAAAGCCTATCACCCCACTCCTCAAAGACTAGAATAGGCAACAATGGGATTTCATTAATAGACACCAGTGAGTGTTGATGTGAGAGATCGTTAAGGTTTGGTTTAGTTTGAAGTCTTTTGTGAGCTCGAAACCTCAGACTGCCTAAAGGATTGCTAAATTCAGTTGCAACCCTGCTCTGGACAGGGCTCTCTCTCTCTAAAAGACTTCAAAATTCAAATCAGTATTGGAAGTTGGACCCAGAGTCCGAGTACACCGGTATTTACACCCTTCTCCCTGGGATCATCAGTGTCTGTAGAGAATAATTTTTAAACAGATAATTTAAACTAAATCTTCAGATGAGCCCATAAATTTTTAAAAAAAGTCTGAAGATTTTTACTTTTATCTATTTATTTAGTATTGGTGAAAAATTCCTCTGCACACGTGGAAGAAAATTCTTCTGAAACTAATCTAAATATCATAAAGGATGTGTTTCGTTTTAGTAAAGGGAAAGTATATTTTTCACAATATTGCATAATAGCTGAGCTTTGAAGTCTTGTTATTTTCTTAAACAATATATTTATTAAGCATTTTAAAAAATTTAAACCACCTATTGAGCTGTTATCTGTGCTTTTATAAACCAGATTAGTGTATATTCTAAACCTATCGAATATTGTACGAATACGGTATCTCATAGTAATCCTCAGCATTAGGATTTAGTTCTAAACTGCGAAGTTTGTCGTTAATATGGATGTAATAATATGATCAAAGCATTATATATAATTTAATATAATAAGTTTAATATATAATAAAACCTCTGAAGCAGCATTCTTTTCCCCTTTTCTTCTCTGTCCTTAAATAAGGGGCATTCTTTTGTATCAAAGTTAACTCCTGAATGGATACAAGTAAGCAAGAAATAATAGAATTTTCATTTTCGCAATTAAAATACGAAACTTTATCGGTAACGCTTCTGATGCAGAAAAGGAGCTTTCGTGACATGCAGCTAATTAAAGAAAACCATATTTGATGAGTAAGAATTACGCTAAAGTTGTTTTATTTATTCTCTTTACACGCAATAAAAGTACAGTTGCTGTTCTATGCTCGTTATACTTTTTAACAAGTGTAACCGATTTATGAGTCGGAGAAATACTAAATAAACTGCAGATATTGTTCTCAGAAAACAAAACCTATTACAGTAAAAAAACTTATTACTTAAAGCTTTTATTGCTATCATTTCATCCCAAAATTGTAACTTCTTTTGACTTTTATAGGAAGGATTAAATCATCTTCGTTTACCGAATCAACCAGTTTGCTTTTTTAACATATTAATGGTATTTTCTTTATTCTTAACAGTATTATAATATAGGAAAAAAGTGAGAGTGAAAGAAAGACAGTAGCCAGACGTAATCTTTTTAAACTGATCAGTACGATTCACGATTGTGAAAAAATATCTAAGTCACGCACAGATCATTCACGTGATTTGATCCTCATTAGAGCTTGGCGGCCGCCAGAGTTGTCAAACACTAATGTCACGCTAAAGTCCGAAACTATTGTGTGGTACTTTATGTCGAGGAGATGTCTTCTTGGTCGAATATCATTTCACAGTCTCGATACGTTTCTTTCACGGCCGAGAGGATGTTTCCATTCAGTGCGTTGCTTTTTGCAAACTGCAGTTTCATTGTCTACTGTGGAAGTAGTTCGCTCACAATGTATCGTTCAGTTACAATTTGATGAGCTGAGAGAAAACAAAATGACTAAGTAAAGACCGAAAAGTGGAATGATTTAGGGAGCGAAATATTGTCATGCGATGGCAGCATAATGAATAACGCAGCTAATTTCCATACATTTGTCTGTACGCATAAAAATATAAATTATCTGATAAATATTAGCAGAGGGTATAATAGTTTAAAAAAACTACTTAATTTTTGCCATGCATATATGTATATGCTTTTACAAAGATGAATTTTTTAATTGACTCGGGGCAAGCTTCATTCATAAAAAATGTTACTCTTAAATATTAATATTTATGAGCAATTTTATGTAACACTGATCGTGAGATTTGCTCCTGTCGAAAGAGCTGACTTTTCGGTGAAGCACTACCAGGTTTGGGGAAAAAAACTCAGTCTTTTAATTTCCAGCTTAAAAATATCTTGTTAAATTATAGTCAATTTAGTTACTAACTTTTTAATCTAGGAACACTTTTAACATTTTAATACATTTTTTAAAAATGTTCTGAAAAAAATTATAAACACCATTTTGTGCAAGTAGGCATCACAAAATTATACAACAGTTTAATCAAGGAACAGAGAGATAAATGGGTTTTGTAAAATTACACTCATTTCACTACTTGGCAATATCGAAGCGTCTAACAAAGCTGTCTCATTGTGAAGGATATACTTTCTTTCTAATTCTTTGATTTTATTTACTTAGCAGTAAATTTTCTTTTCAAATCATCACATGACAAACAAAACTTGAAATTATCATCTCGTTGAAAATTTGATTTAGATTAGTTATTGCATAAATAATTTTAAACGCAAATAGAATCAATAAATTTCTTGTCGTAGATAATATTACATTAGCTTTTTATGAGACTCAGATAAGTGGATATCAAAATGTTATTCTAAAATATTGTAATGAAATAGCTTGGAAATGTAGAAGCACCGATACATTATTGTTTGTAGACTTTTTATATAAGTTAAGGCATGCTTAGATAGCTTAAAAAGCTAGTAATAGGCAACTGCACAATGAGGCTCATTGCACAAAAAGAAAAGGAATTAGAAAAAAACAGATAGCATTATTAAAGCTCATTTGAATTTATCAAATGTAATAACAATAAATCTAAGTTACGTGAAGCTAGAAATTCCAGATGTCTATAGTTTCCAAAAAATTTTCTGTGAATCATAGAGCATGTATCATTGTTTTTCTATATTTGAGTATTTTTGTTCAATGCATCTTTTAACAACTTTCTGAAACGCTATACTGAACTGTTACAAAAAAGTGAATCCTACGATTTATACATGTACTTCCAGTTCTTCTCGAGAAAAACAATTTCACAATACCGAGCCCTTTTTTATTTTATGTAGGTGAGTTGTTTACGGTGTGTGGTGCTAAATACATTAATCTGCCAATATTTAGAAATACACAAAACGGGACTATCTAAACCGAAAATTATAAAAATTATTACAAAATCTAATTGTAATGGTTTTGAATAATATCGATTACGAATCAGAGCGAATAATAGATAGATGAAAAATAAATTCAAGCTTCAGGATTACAGATGAGAACTTAAAAATGTACGTGAATTCACTTCACACATCTTGCATGATGATAGTATCTCAGTGCAAAATTGAACATATTGATATTCTTGCAAAAATATATTTAAAATATGCTTATTATTCTTTCGCCTTACATGAATTTTGCAGACTGCACGCCCATAACGCATTGAATACTTTTTAATTAATAACTATGAAATTTGCAAGCATTAAGCTAAATAAGTATAACTTAACTGTTTAAAAAATAAAAAATTAAAAAGTAATCTTCATAGATTAATTTACATTTTAACGTCTTTGGATTCATATAGCAAAACAGGAGGGGGAGAACAATGCGAAAGTAACTATCCGTGTATCAACTAGAATTTCCGTGTTTGATTTGCTAGTGCATTTAATACTGTGATAAATACGTGGTATAAAATTCTTTATTCTACTTTTGAGGAAAGGACTTATTCAGAATTTACATGTGGCCCTAATAATCTTTTAGTGGTTAATGTAACAAAATAGGTGATGGAATAGAGAAGGGAGAAAATCTATTTTTAAACACTGAGCCTATTTAAAGTAAATGATACTTTATAACCGTCAAACATTAAAAACCAATCTCCGGCGTTTTATAATATCTAACTGATTAATACTTAAGAATGGATTTTATGGATTATTATTATTATTATATCATGTAGAAGAATTCTTCGTATTAAATGCGCGTCTCGAAATCATCATCTGTTTGTGAAAAAGCAGATTTAAAAACAACCAAAAAAAAAAAAAAAAAAAAAAAAAAAATGTACTGTACGTTCTGTTAGTTCAAGAAATACACGTATGTTAAATGTTGCATCCTTAACTGTGATTTAAATAAATCGTTGAATAATTTTTAAATGCTGGTTTTATGTATATATAGGTAGATATAGATAATTTGCTATTTTAAACCTTACCCCAGTCTTTCATAGTTAAAGTGTGATATTATATTACTTAGAGCTCCGAATTAATCTCTTCTAATATATTTTGATATTTATGATTTCAGTAATAACCGATAAAATATGAAATGTAATAGAAGATAAAAATCCCCAAAATACCTAAAACGAATTATTTATTTTAACATTTCTTTATGATTCGCTTAAAACGTTCAGTCCTATTTCTGAAAATGTTTGATGTTTGAATGGGATGCGGTGTATTCTGTGTAGTGATTCAATAATACGTTGATAGTAAAACGAACCACTCTTAATTGCAGCCACCTCATCCCTAGTTGCCCTCCAGAGCCGCATGATGGGCAGTGCTCCATACAAGTACAACTCCCGGTCAATTAAAGACGAACCACAGTGGGATCTTGGTTACTATGACATGGGTGTAGGTATGCCTGAACCTCCATTCCTATCTAATACCTATATGCAAACACGGCACTGCTTCTAGTTAGTCATGGAACACCCACTGCAATTTTCATCACTTCATGAATAATTAACTCACAGCACTCAGTTTCTCAAATATTTAATTATAATTTACTAGAGATGCTAAAAGTTTTAAGAACCTGAAAATATAATGAAAAAGAAAGAACTGTCATTATGGGATAAGAATGCTATAAAATATTACTTACGAATATTTTTTGCGGATTATTAATGCATTCTTATTAATTTATTTTCTAATTCGTTTGTATCAATCAATTCATTTCGCAAAGTGAGTGAGTGATCTTCGCGATCTCTGATAAGGACCTAGCTCGGAGGAAAAATAGCGGTGATCTTTTTTCAGAAGGTTTTCATGCCGTTAGAATACAGAATCATTTTAATATCTTTTATTAATGTAATGTGTTGAATTTTCAGCCGATGTGCATTATGTAAATATTGTTATATCAGTCGAGGTGCCAAAACTCATTTTAACTTGAATTTTGGTTGATATTTCGGTTACATTTTGAGTTAGTTAATGACTATTAAGCTATTGTAAACCTTAAATTCTTTTCAGTAAAAACAGAAATTTGTAATTAGAGGTGTTATTATAAAAATTTCATTCAAATTTTAACTTAGCAACTTCAGAATGAATGCAATGGTGATAATATAGCTTGAATACTTTATTTAAGGTCGAATGGATTTCAAATTAAGTGCATATAAAGCATGAATTAATAGTAATTTGAAATTAACAGGGTCTTACAACGTGTATTTTATTAACTTCTCAAGAGCTGGATATTTTAGTGTTAAAAAGGTTAAAATAAAGAGAGCGGGATTCCATGTATTTGTGCGAGCAGTGCCGTTTTTAACTACAGTGTTTTCTTTTTATCTTTTCATTTTCGTTTTTAAAAAGCTTATGCATGTTTTAATAGGAAATCATAATGTATACATATTTATTCATAAGACACAATTAATATAGAAGCAATAAACTCAGTTTCTCTTAAAACCATTGCATAAGAAGCGAACCAAGTTATAATAAGCTGCTTTAACAAATCTCATAAACGCTTAAAGTTAAAGAAGCATTTATAATTGTATATATTACATTTGCTCTTCTGCGGATAATTCGTTTATTTATACATTATTAAATAAATTTCAAATCTAATGAATAATAAGAAAATAATAATGCAGAATTTTGAGCTCTTTACTTGTAGAATTCGCTTGTAAAGAAAAAATTAATCATTTTTAACTTTAACAATTAGAAATAAATGTGACCTTCATAGTTGGCTACTATTTATGCTAATATTACAAAATGATACGCAACAAATAAATACTTTTCAGTACGTGTTTAAACTAGGATATGTATAAAAACATGTATAAACACATTGACATATACTTATGCATGTGTGTTAACTTTTTAATTAATTTAGTTTGTTTCATTTATTTTATTTTATTTATTTAATTTGTGAAAGCACATTTCACATATATCTGAATTCTGTTTACATTGTGCATAATTCTTTCATGATATTAAATTTAAAATTTATTTTTATATTCTACTTTTTCTGCGAATGCTCAGAAAGCTTCTAAACAAAACGTAGATTAGCAAGTCACATTGTATTGAAAATTAAAATCTCGAAGGATTAAGAATTTGAAAACTCATATTCCTCCAATATTTATGACAAGCTTCTAAGCCTCTTTAACTGAATAAATTAGTTTTCCCTAAAAATACTTTAATCTGTCTAAAAAACGTACTAAATATTTCTGCGTTTTACTGAATATTAGATATGACCAACTTTCCAACCTACCTGCCTGCGCAATGTCCTTTGTAAAGTTATACAGATTCTTTTACTTCCTTCGAAAACAATCAGTTGCAGAGCATTAGCATATAGAACAAGCATGATGACTTAAATAATGTATCGTGCAACTACATTTCTGCACCCTGTAGTCTGTATTAGTAATCCGCGCGGATATAAGGATATAAGGTGATACTGAATATGAAAGAGGTTACAAATTTCCTCTCTGATATGTTTTATGAGGTTGAAAGCGTTTGAAAATATGCATTTACTATATAAATAAATGAATGATAAAAATAAAATGAAGCAGGAAGGTTAAGCTAGGATTGTAAAAGAATAAATAAAATTCCTCAGTGGGAAAGGATCTTGTCTCAGGTAGTTTCTTTATGACTTTTGATTACTTTGAGAATAACATTAAAAGACGTGATTAACGTAGGCAATTAAAAAGACTTCCGTTTAGTGTTCAGAATACTGACGTTTAAGAATTCAGTATGTATATATTAATTATATTTCTAACATTTACAAAAATGAGATTGAGTATAAACTTTAAATACCTCTTCAAAATAGTTGTTCTTCATCATCTAATCAATCTTGCTAATTTAACCAGGCAGGAAAAAATTGCATTACTATAGAACAAAATTTGGCTTAACTGTTTACTATGACGAACAAAAAAAAAATCCACTCTTCCATGATCTTTCTATAACTATTTATAGTTCCATTTAGTTGAAAGTGAAATTCGATAATCATAAAGCATATAGTCATTAATAATTTTTTTCGTTATTTGATCTCGAGACATTCCAATCAGAACCCATTAAGTTAATTCTTGCGGGCAATTTGTAATGGCTACTGATTTGCACGGATATCAATTTCTGTCGATATTAACGCAATTATTTGGGTTTAATAAATAGATTACATACGTCGATTATAAGGGCAAGTTCGTGCAAGTGTTATTTTTCAAACACTCGCGTGCTTTATACTGACTGTTGCGTCATGCGCTGTGAATAGGTTTCGTACGCGATGAAGGGAGCTGAAGGGATGAATCCCATATTGAGGGCTTAGATGTTGAAGGTAGGGATACATAATAATCGCATCATAGCTTTATCTATAAACAAGGCATAAAAGGAATAATCGCATCATAGCTTTATCTATAAACAAGGCATAAAAGGAATAATCGCATCATAGCTTTATTTTAAGAAATATTTTGCAACCGTTTTAATGTATCCTGATTACACTTAGAAAACAAACAGCGCATACTGCGATATAAAGCTGATATTTTACCTGGCCAAAATATTATTTTCCTTATAGTTACCTGTAAGTTACAGGATTACGGAATACATAGGCTAGCACACTTTTACGTAAGCAAAACTGTACCAAAACCATAGAAACAGACGAAAATGACACAAGAGCCTAATGAAAAAAGTATAATGATATATGCCAAAACAATTCTGTAATTTTTTAATGCCGGAAAGCCAGAATTCTGAAATACTGTAGTCCTTTTTCGTACTGGGTTCATTTCCCAGGAGCTAAAATGATCGGGTTGATTAACTTGTAAAATGAAACTTGTTCCACTATAAGATGAATAAGAGTTTCGAAGTTTTATCCCGTATAGAGTAAATAAAAGCCTATATTCTTTAGAAAATCTTTCTTGGGAATACTCCCCTACCACTACATGACAGGAAGTAGTTCTCGTCTGCTTTGCTAAAATTATTTAACCAATCATCCAACAGATCTGCATTCATCATAAAACTCTGAAAGTTAAAATTCAAAGCTTGTAATTCGTTTCTAAAAGTGCTGCGAAGTCTACATTTCGTTTTTCGATTCAAATATTTCAGCAGCGAGCTTGACCAGCAGTTAGAAAAGGGCTATCTCAATTTTGGCTGAATTTCAAATAATCAGACTTGTAATTATTCGCTGATGCTTCCAAAAATAGTGTTAAACCACTCCGAACGGAATCTGAAAAAGCGATATTTTGTCAGGCTTTGTTTATCATAACTTAAAAAAAACCAATTACTTAATTAAAACTACCTTTAAAGGCCTACCGACTTTATTGCGTTTGTGTCGAAAACGCTTTGTCATTATCCCATTCAAGCATGGGATATTTTACATTAACTGCCATTCTACTTACCTTTAATTTTCGAACGAACGAAATTTGTTTGGTAAAGTATTTAGGTAAATACTGAGCAATTCAAAATATGTATTACTGTTAAAATAATTGCTTTAAATATGTTTAGAGAAGAAATGAGAAACTGAACAACATAATTGTTGAAAAGCTAAAATTTATGTAATTTATAAAAAACAAATTGTGCCAAATAATCAGGACAAATTCATGGGTATAATGATACACTTTAGGAAGCAGCAATCTGTTTGAAATTAATTTTTATATCCATTTCGCAAAATGTACGCCGTGAATGCGGTTATAATTTTTGTATTCAAACAGATTTACATATTTTAAACAAAATGGGAAGACAAGTCAATAAATGAAATATAACATAAGGAAGCAAAACCGTGATATTGTTAAAATTACATTTAAAACGTATTTCCCCCGTCTTCGTAGCGTGCCTTCGTGGTGTAGTGGTCTGCACACTGGCGCGTATACCAGAGGTCCGCGCTTCGATTCCCGGCGAAGGCGTTGCTCATTCTTATCCTAACTACTTCCAAAAATAACTAACGTCTCTACAGTGGCGCTCGAACTAAAAGGGTGTGGGTAATGATTCTCCACACACCGGATTTGGCGATTAGGTCCCCTGAAAATCCCAGTTGCTCTTTAAAAAGGGGAAGTATATAAGGTATTTCTCGCGCCTTCTTAGCGTGCCTTCGTGGTTTAGTGGTGTGCACACACTATGCGTATTCCAGAGGTCCGCGGTTCGAGTCCTGGCGAAGGCGTTGCTGATTTTTCATCTTACCTGCTTCCAAAAATACCTAATGTCTCTACACATTGTGTCCATTATTAAGAAAAGTATCATCATAAGTTCAATATTCATAAAAATCCAACAACCATTTTCATATGAGCACTGTAACCAAGGCGTTTTGCGTTGAATTACTTAAATGCAATGTGTCACTTTTCAAATTGTTGCCACCACATTTATCGTCCTGTATTATATTTAAAGAAACTAAATAATGAAGAACGTGTATAAATGTATGTATGTTTCTCGCATTGTTAAAAAATAACGGTGACTAGAGCCCTC